TCAAGGAGAACATGGGAGCGTACTTGGAAGAGCAAGACGAGCGCATCCACTAGAATACATTGGACTTAGAACGCCGCTACCAAGGACAGTATAACGAGAACATGATGGGAGACTATATGGGAGACTATGTTTGGGGTTGATTCGTGAAAGCGATTTACAGGATAATCGTAAATCTCTAAAAACTCACTTTTAAATTTTCTGTGGTAATTTTTGCATTACTTTAGTATAAATATGTGTTAATTTTGATTCATATCTTGTTTGTTTCTGACTTGATATGAACGAAAAAAACACAAATTTTTCAGTTTCACTGGAAACAGGTAAATTTCAAAGTATCACTGTCCTCGTCACAAAAGCAAAGTTTGTGCGGAATAATAGCCATTTTTCTATATATTTTTAGGCATAAGCAATTACGAAATAACACTTACTACCCAGGAACAAAAATTGTGTGACATTATTTGCTTTTCTTAGCGATAATTATTAAGGCTTTATAAAAAAGACCATTTGCTTCCGCCATGTAAAACATTTAGTAAGAAGAATTAGATACTACCATATCACACAGTTTGAAGCCTCAAGCTGAGAAAAATATAAAGTCATGAAAATACAAGTTTCTCTTGTTTATGGAAAGACAACCAAGACAGAAGTGCGCAATTATTTCCCCAGACTTCAGTGAAAACTAATTTATATAGACCATAATGATAGGTCCTTGAAAAGAATTTCTGTATGTGCAAATATGCTTACAAAGTGAAAAAATAAAACATATATAAGAGGAAGTCAAGAATCCGAAACTAATTGCTCTGTTAATCAAAATTAAATATGATAAAGACTATAAACTAGTATTTACCTATTCATATTACCAGCAGCTAAATAGATGATATAACGAGAAATCACTAATATATTTCTTAATAGTTTTCGTTTCCTTTTTTTGTTTTTATTTTGGGGGGTGGGGGAATTTCTTTTATTCCGAGCTGACAACGATTGGAATCCTGCATGCCTAACTCTATTTACGGCGAGCAATGGAAAAGGCAAGAACCGGGTGTCAACATTCTTTTATAAAAAGTTGCAAACCACTGCAAAATCCGAGAAAATGTATATATTAAGAATGGATTCCAAGCAAAGAAATTTGTGTAAGTGAATTACTGAAGCAGCCTTTGCATGAAAACTAGGATAACAGAAAGTGTGGTGCTGATATTCTCAAGTTTACAAACAATTGTGCTTTAATACAATTTGGAATAGTCAATACATTATTACGTAACATTCCAAAAGTCACTAAGCATAGCTTGAATTCTTTAGAAAGACGCTCAGTAGCCCTAACCAATTACAAACCAGTTTAAATGTGCTATATACATGTTGCATCTTGAAGCAAAGTAAAGCCATTTAGTAAGCATATGCCTCAAACTCCAGGCAGGTGCGCTGAAACAAACAGGAACATATCAATGCACCAAATATTTTGCAGTTTCTTACTAAAACCCTGTGTATTTCAACCTGATGATATCTCATACTTTCCAGCCTCCATCGATTGACCTGTGAACTGCATACCGAGAATAGCCATTCCTTGTACTATTGATTACCGCTTTTAAGGAAAAATATTTACCTCCTTAGAAATATTAACTGTATTTGTATGCCAGGTCAATATTTATTAGATGCTGGCCATTCAATAATCATGGGACAGTGGGAGAATATTCTTGTGTTTCATTTGTTAAATTTGTAGCTCACAAATGGCTTGAAACAAATTATATGCACTGTTTTAAGGAATATAATGAATGATTCTAGTGTTGCAGAATAACTTTGAATCCATCATATATGTGGAAGAAAATAATAGCTAATTCCTTCGATATTACGTGTTCTAAATTATATATAGCTATTTTTATCGACTTTGATTTGTAAAATAAAATAGCTAATACTAACTCATCTTATGCGTTGTAGAATACAATAGCTATTTCTATCCATCTTGTGTTACAGAATAAAACATATATTTATATCAACCTTATATATTATTAACTAAAATAGCTCTTTCTATCCATCTTCTTAGTAGAATAAATATATATTTATATCGATCTTGTGACGAAGAACAATAAACTATTTTTCTTTATCTTATGTGTTTGTAGAAAAAGCAGTTATTTCTAAAACTCTTCTAATGAAAAATCAAACACATATTTCTTTATATCTTATACTGTAGAATAAAATAGCTATTTATATTCATCTTGTCTTGTAGAATAAAAAAAACTATTACTTTTCATCTTGTTTTGTAGAAAAAATTAGCTATTTATATCAATCTTGTGTTGTATAATAAAACAGCTATTTTTATTCATATTGTGTTGTAAAATAAAGTAGCCATTTCTATCCATCTTGTGTTGTACAACAAAGTTTATATTTCTTTAAATCCTGTGTTCTAGAGTAAAATAGTTTTTTATGTCCAACTTGTGTTCAAGAAAAAAAATACTTCTTTCTATCTTATGTATTTGTGGAAAAGCAGCTATTTCTTCTCATTTTGTGGTGTAGAATCATACACATATATCTTTCCATCTTTTTTATAGAATAAAAGACATATTTCTAACCATTTTGTGTTGTAGAATAAAATATTTATTTCTATCGATCTTGTATTGTAGAGTACAAAAGCTATTTCCTTCCATCATGTCTTGTATAATAAAATATCTATTTCTTTCCATCTTCTCTTCCAGAATAAAATATATATTTCTTTCCATCTTCTCTTCCAGAATAAAATAGTTTTTTATTTCCATCTTGTGTTCTAGAATACTATAGCTATTTTTGTCTATCTTGTGTTGTAGATAATAAATAAAACTATTTCTCTCTATCTTATGTGTTTGCAGAACAAGCAGCTACTTCTATCAATTTTGTTTTGTAGAAATAAAACACATATACCATTCCATCTAATGTTGGGACCAATCCGGTTGCCTACTATTTATTTCGTTTACCTCGGATACGGGAGGTCGTTGGTTGCAACCACGTTTGTGTCCAACAAAAAAAATTTAAAATAGTAATAACAGCTGCCTCGCTTGGCGCTCAACATTAAGAGGTTAGTGTCAGGACTGGTCGACCTGGTGTAGGATAATGTGACTCGGTTGTACATCTTGTGTTGTAAAATAAAATAGCTATTTCTATCAATCTTTTGCTGTAGAATAATATAACTATTTCAATCCATCTTGCGTTGCACAATAAAATAGCCATTTCTATCCATCTTGTATTATAGAACAAATATCTATTTCTATCCATCTTGTGTTGTAGATGTAGAAGACAAAAACTATATCTATCAATCTTGTGTTGCTGAATAATGTAGTTATTTCTATCTATCTTGTACTATATAATAAAATAGCTATGTCTATCCATCATGTCTTGTAGAATAAAATAGTCATTCATATACATCTTCTGTTGTAGAATAATATAGCTGTTTCTTTCCATCTTCTGTTCAAGAATCAAACAGCTATTTATATCCATCTTGCGTTGGAGAACAAAAAAAAACTATTTCTCCGTCTTACGTATTTCTAGAAAAAGCAGCTATTTCTTTTCATTTTGTGTTGTAGAAACAAACACATATGTCTTTCCAATTTATGTTCAAGAACAAAGGAGGTATTTGTATCTATCTCGTGTTGTAGAATAAAATTATATTTCTTTCCATCTAGTATTGTAGAATAAAATAGTTGTTTCTTTCCATCTTGTATTCCAGAATAAAATACATATTTGTATCAATCTTTTGTTGTATAATAAAAGAACTATTTCTTGCCATTTGTGGTCTGGAATAAAATAGCAATAGCTATGTCTGTCCATCTTGTATTCTAGAGGACAATAGCTATTAGTTCGAGGTTGTGTTGCAATATAAAACAGCTGTTTCTAACCATCTTGTATTGTAGAATACAATTGATATTTCTATCCATATTGTGTTGTAGAATCAAATAGCTATTTCTATCCATCTTGTATTGTAGAATACAATTGATATTTCTATCCATATTGTGTTGTAGAATAAAAAAGCAATATATTTCATTCCATTTTGTATTCTAGAATAACATATCTATTTCTGTTCATGATGTGTTAAAAACAAAAACTATTTCTTCCTATCTTATGTGTTTATATATTGTATTATAGAAAAATAGCTATTTCTATCCATTTTCTGTTGTAGAAAAATAGGTATTTCAATAAATCTTGTATCCATCATCTTTTTTAGAATAATATAGCTATTTCTATCTATCATGTATTATATAAAAAAGCTGTCTATCTAATTTATGTTTTAGTATTTTAAAAGTATTTTAATCCATCTTGTGTTGTAGAACAAAAAATATATTTCTTTCCATTTTGTGGTCGAGAACATAAATACTATTTCTCCTTATCTTACGTGTTTGTAGAAATGACAGATATTTCTATCAATTTTGTGTTCTAGAATGAAACAGATGTATTTTCATCTTATGTTGTAGAATAAATGAGCTATTTCTATCCATATCGTGGTCTAGAAATAAAATTTGTTTCTATCCAACTTTTTTGTAGACAAAACAGTTACCTTTTCCATCTTATGTTCTGGAACAAAATATATATTTCCATCCATATTGTGTTGTAGAATAAAATAACAATTTCTATCCAGCTTGTGTTGTAGAATAAAACATCTATTTATTTCCATCTTGTGTTTGAGAACAAAATATCTAGTTCTCCCTATCTTACGTGTTTGTAGAAAAGACAGATATTTCGAACCATTTTCTGTTGTAGAATCAAACACATATGTCATTCCATCTTATGTTGCAGAAAAAGGAGCTATCTCTATCTATTTTGTGTTGTAGAATAAAATAGATATTTATTTCCATCGTCTCTTCCAGAATAAACTGGAAATTTCAATCCATCTTGTGTTCTAGAATAAAATAGCTATTTTTGTCTATCTTGTGTTGTAGAACAAAAACACTATTTCCCTCTATCTTATGTGTTTGCAGAAAAAAACAGCTATTTCTAGTCATGTTGTGTTGTACAATCAAACACATGTCTTTATATCTTATTTTGGGACCGCTCCGGTTGCCTATTGGTTAGAGCGTCCACCTCTGATTTGGGTTGCCGTGGGTTCGAACCCCAGCCGATACATTCCAAAGACATTAAAAATGGCCCTAACAGCTAAAACAGTTATTTTTTCCATCTTATGTTCTAGAACAAAATATATATTTCTCTCTATATTGTCTTGTAGAATAAAATAGTTGTTTCTATCCAGCTTGTGTTGTAGAATCAAACAGCTATTTCTTTCCATTTTGTGTTCAAGAACAAAAATAATTGGTTCTCCCTATCTATTGTTTTCGCAGCTATATTCAACCATTTTCTGTTGTATAATCAAACATATATGTCATTCCATATTATGTTGCAGAAAAAGAAGCTCTTTCTATCCATTTTTTTGTTGTAGACTAAAATAACTATTTCTATCCATCATTTGTTATATAATAAAATGGCTACTTCTATCCATCTTGTCATGTAGAATAAAGTATCTATTACGTTCATCTTGTGCTCCAGTATACAATAGCTATTTATCTCCATGATGCGTTGTATAATAAAATAGCCATTTTTTTCATCTTGTGCTGTAGTATAAAATAGCTATTTGTATCCATCTTGTGTTGTAGAATGAAATAGCTATTTCTCTCCGTATTCTGTTGTAGAATAAAAATGATATTTCTTCAAATCTTGTGTTCTAGAGTATAATAGCTATTTTTTCATCTTGTTTTCTAGAATAAAATAGCTGTTTCTATGCATCTTGTGTTCAATAACAAGATATATTTTTCTATCCGTCTGGCGTTTTTGAAACAGCTTTTTCTATCCACGATGTGTTGTAGAATAAAATAGCTATTTCTATCCATCATGCTATAGAATAAAATAGTTATTTCTATCCATCTTGTTTTGTAGAATAAGGTAGCTGTTTCTATCTCCATCTTGTGTTGTAGAATAAAATAGCTATTTCTATCAATCTTCTGTTGTAGAATGAAATAGCTGTTTCTTTCCATCTTTTGTTATAGAAACAAATAGCTATTTATCTCCAGCTTGTGTTGTAGAATGAAATAGCTATTTCTATCCATATTATGTGTTTCTGAATAAAAATAGCTATTTATATCCATCTTTTTTCTTTTTTTGTAATATATATATATATATATATATATATATATATATATATATATATATATATATATATATATATATATATATATATATATATATATATATATATATAGTCATGTTTGCTAAGCCCCATATATTAAGTCATGTGTGAGCTGTAACCTATCTGTCTGGGGAATATTTAGTGGGCCTTTTGTTTGATCTCTAAATTTAGATTACCACGGAGTTAGTGTTCACCTCTTACGCAAGGGTTACCGTGCTCAGCCAGAGACCTAATATTTGAGTCGGCAAAGGTTTTTTTTTATTTACCCATGTTGACAGACAGCGAGAGGGACATGTTACTCAAAGTTTGATAGGATCGGTCCACAGTGATATCCAATCAAAATTGCGACAAAGGGCACTATTACAATTCAGACACGAATCATACCTTCCTAATCGTAACGGTAAGTTAATATTCACCTGAAAGCATTGCAAATCAATAGGGTTTACTCCGAGAGAAAAAAAAAAACGCCACTTGTAATCAAACGGCAGAACTTAGGTAGATTCTAAGGAAAGACACAGCTTCAAATAGAAGCTTTTCAGGGAACAGAGACAGAGAACTTCGGTTCCAAGTCTTCAAGAGTTAAAGACGGAACTGAGACTGTAGCCGAGACAGTCAAAGTCGTTATATGTGTAGCCTTGGAGGACAACGTGGAACAGGACTATGAGGAATTTAGAGAACGTCGAGGAGGAGAACGAGATTGGAGAATGGTCTTGGATGAAGAGGAAAATAATTGGGAGAAATAAGCGAGAGAAGTGATACAACAGATGAGTTGAAATATAAAGACAGATGGAAATCAATATCTCACTGCTAATCAAGTGCTTCAATAGGCTTATTAAAGGGACGAGGGGAAGGAGTGTAATTTGAGTCCTTTGATTATTGGATTGTTATTAAATTGTTATTCATTGAATTTCAACATTTTCTGTATACTTATCCATCTAATCGTCAGCATTGTTGACAGGGGCTCAGAGCTTTACATCTATCTTTCACTAAATTTAGCTTCTAACAAAATATAGCATTGGGGGACTTCTATAACAGTTTAAATAAAAAATTCAGAGCACTTAACCCCAACTATATAGTTCGCCAAATCTATTCCATCTTGTGTTCCAGAATAAAATAGCAATTTCTATGCACTTTGTGTTCTAGAATAAAATAGATATTTCTATCCATCTTGTGTTGTAGGATAAAATGGCTATTTCCACTCATGTTATGTGTTACTTCATAAAATATCCATTTATGTGTTGTAGAATAAAACACCGTTTATATCTATCTTTGTTTCTAGAATAAAATAGCTAATCTATCCATCTTGTTTTGTAGTATAAAATATCTATTTCTGTTCATCTTGTATTGCAGAATAAATAGCTATTTCAAAACTATTGCTGTATTACAGAAAAAAACAACAATTTTTTTCCATTTTTTGGAATAAAATGACAATTTCTATCCGATTTTGTTGTAGAATAAAAAAGCTATATCTTTCTTAATTGTGTTTCAGAATGAAATATTCATTTCTGTACACCTTGTGTTGTAGAATAAAATAGTTATATAGTTTTTTCTATCATTCTTTTTTGTTGTAGAATAAAAGTTATTTCCATCGATCTTGTGTGTTGTACAATAAACAGCTATTTATATCCATCTTGGACTCTAGAATAAAATAGTTATTTCTATTTTTTGTGTTTTATAATAACAGCTATTTCTGTCAATCCTACATTTTTTAGAATAAAATCGCTATTTCTATCCATCTTATTTGTTTTATAATAACAGCTATTTCTATCCATCTTGTGCTGTGAAATATAATAGCTATTTCTATCCATCTTATGTGTTGTAGAATACAATAGCTATTTCTATCCATCTTAGTTCGTAGAATAATAGCTATTTCTATCTATCTTATGTGTTGTAGAATACAATAGCTATTTCTATCCATCTTATTTCGTAGAATAATAGCTATTTCTATCCAGCCTGTGTTGTAGAATAAAATAGCTATTTCTATATTTCTTATGTGTTGTAGAATAAAATAGTTGTTTATATACATCTTTTGTATTGTTGAATAAAACAGTTATTTCTATCCATCGTACGTGTTATTAAATAAAATTGCTATTTCTATCAATCTTACGTGTTGCAGAATAAAACAACTATTTCTATATTGTGTTCTAGAATAAAATAGCAATTTCTATCCATCCTTTGTATTGTTGAAAAGAATAGCAATTTCTGTCTGTTCTATTGTGCTGAAAGAAAATTTTGTTAGGTACAAGAAAAAAGATACCGTTTGCAGAGGTGCAGGGGTGCAGCTACCGTATAGCAAAAGTTTGCAAAGTGATATGCCCATGGATTATGTGTGTACATGATATATTAGGCAGGGGATCCTTGTTAAGTTTTGCATATGGGGTCAAACATCCTAGCTACGCCACTTTTTGTTGGAAATAAATACTAGCCCCCAACTCGGCCCAAACCCACCCACCCCCAGCCAAAACAAAAATGAAAATGTCGGTTCCTTTCTTACTTTTTAAGTGTTTAATCAGCGACTGATTGCATATTTTGTCTAATGATTTTGCGTGTTCTGGCAGGAAATATTTATTTAGCATAAACTTCAAACATCATCACATCGAATCATCAGAAATGGTAAATTATATTAAATATACATCTAGGTACCTAGATAACCAACACGGATTAGAAAAGTGCTGGCACTGGCGTAATGAACAAATAAATAATGTGTATGATAGTATTACATTATGGAATAAGTCGAAGACTATGTCCGTACCATTTGGCATAAGTCACATACATAATTTACAGGAACGTTTAACAGTCCTCGTGGTCTTTGTAATGAATTCGTTCTATTCATTCTGTCAGATATCACTTTCATCATTAAAGAATTAAAGAATTAGGCACAAATTCTAATACGCATATTCCCACTGGATGCATCCATTTTCTGTGAATCATTTTCAAGAAGACATGCTGTCCAATTAATTCTTTGTTTAATGGGTCTATGTAGGGAGGAGGTCTACTGTCTTCCCCATCTCCATGACATCAGCAATCCGTAACACGAAACAAACCACCAAACTAATCAAACAACCTAGATTTTCAGACATTGTTATAAATAATAAACATATCTGAGATTGTTATGTTGCCATGAGTAACATGTTGGCTTGTGGAGAGGTTGAATGAAAAAAATGCCGAATTCTGTATAATTAAATCTAACTCATGTTGACTAAGAAGTCGTAGGCATTCTATTGATCTAGTTTATGATACTGTGCATTAATCACTGCAAAAGGATGCTCTGATTGATTCGTTTTTTTTTCACATGGAAACTATTAACTAAGAGGATACCCACCCTTGATTTTAAATGTTTCAGTCTTCTCAAAACATGTTGAGACGCGTCTTTGTTTTCTGTTCATGTAAGTTTTTTCCCTTCATTTGTCTCAACTGCTTTTTCTTTCTTTTTAAAAACTTGGGGTTGCAATTGTTTTATGCTAACAGATTTTTAGACTGACTTTCCCGAAACCAATTTTTCGAACGACTTTCAAAGAAGAATGAATCGATCATCAATATTTTAAAATCTGATAATGCGGGCAAATACAGAAATAAATTTTGCATGTGAAGGAAATACGATCTACAGTTCTAAAAAAAACGAAAGGAAAAATATGGGAGAAAAATAACGCCTACACAAATGATAAGAAATGATTTCGAAATTAGGAGGTTACTTTTATTGGTGTCAGATTCACTGGAAGACTTCAACAACAGAACACTTCAGATGCAGATCACTCCTTCTCAAGGTTTCATTAGAACAGAGCAAATATTTTGCTCTCGAAATTACACAAGACGCCATGCCCGTTATTCATGTACATTCAAACAAGGAGAAATATGAGTCAGTGATTTCCGCTAAGAATTCTGATCAAAACTATTCTGCTTTCCTCATCTCTGAAAGAATCTATACCCTTGTGATACTATCAAGGCA